TATGATACATAACTGTTTTACATCATCATGAATATTTGCAAATGTGTTATTATAGACCATAACCTATCCCTGTGCCAAGTTTCATCACGATCATTTCAGACATTTTAACGTGAAGGAGTAAAACACATACCTACAAACTTTTGCATTAATAATATTAATAGGTACTCGTAGGATAAGTAACTGAACTAGACCTTTTCTTATATTTATATTTATACGAAGATTAATCCTGTCTGCCTTCCCCGTTTAACTGGTAAAAAAACTATGAAAATGTAAACAAACAGTTCAATAACTACCTAAAGTTTAGCATGAACAAGCATTACTCAGCAAAAATCTATTTCAATTCATACCAGTTGCTTCCCAACTCGACAATATCTTAGTGAGCCGTTTTATATTCAGACATTGTTGAAATGTTTGTCTCATAATTATTATTACGGAATTTATGTGTAAAGTTAGTGGAGGATTCTACCTCAGAATGAAAAAGTACCATCAGTTTTTATTAGTTAGGAATTTCAAATATGAATAGAACTTATCGCTACATAGCACGCACTATTCTAAAGTATGTATTATGTCCTTGACTTGACCCTTTCACTGCAACCATATCTTTTATTTCTCGGTAAAAATTGCGTAACCACGTGTAATTGTGACTAAGATTATTATATTGAAAAGATAAAAAAAAGTGATGAGTTGGGATGTAACCGAAACACGTGAAACTGATTGATAAGAATTGAATAATAGCGTTGTATATAAACCGTTATGTTATATTTGTACTTCAGACTAAAACTTGAATACTCAGTGGAGTCCATTCGTTCGCACGGTCCAGTCGCGTCTCATAATCTCAAAATGTTTTTGCCAGTAATATTATTTGGCTTAGTTGTGCTATTATTGTTCACATACCTCTATAAAACTGGACAATATAATGAAAGCTACTGGAAGAAACGCGGTGTTAAGTTTTACGATAGAAGCAAAGCCATCGGCCCCTATTGGGAGTTTCTCACAACAAAACGAGCTTTGTTTGAGATACTTGGTGATATCTACAAGGAGTATAAAGATGAACCTGCTGTGGGAATTGGGCAGTTGTCAACACCGGCGCTATTTGTTATACATCCAAAGAATGTGCAGCAAGTTCTACAGACTGATTTCCAAGCCTTCCACCATAGAGGAATGGAAAGCGTTGAAGGTGATCAACTTTCCGATAATATTCTCTTCATGAATGGACCCAGATGGAAGCTTATGAGAAAGAGTATGAGTCCATTATTCACGGCCAGCAAATTGAAGAACATGTACTACATCATGGACAAAAGTGCCCAAGACTTTGTGAGTTATTTAAAAGGAAATCCTAAAAAACGTGGGAGTGACATATACGGAACACTTACAACCTTCTGTAATGCAGCAATTTGTGGAGCAGTTTTTGGCATTGGATCCGAATCAACCTTTGATTCACCGTTCATCAAACTAGCGGAAAATATGTCAGCAACAAAACTCAAGAACGTATTAAGATTTGCTATCATTGGAATGAGCCCAAAGATAGCAAATATGTTGGGAATCAAATTGTTCAAGGAACACGAAGATTACTTCATTAGTTCTATTGCAGAAGTTATAAGAAAACGGGAAGCAGAGAATGTAAAGAGACATGATTTTGCTGATCTGTGTATTACTTTGCAGAAGAACGGAACGTTGAAAGATGAGACGACAGGGTGTACTATTGAACCAACGACTGGATTATTATCAGCACAAGCCTTGTTCTTCTTCGCTGCTGGAGTTGAGCCATGTGCTGTAGTATTATTTTCAGTATTAACTCTTCTCTCTTGCCATCCAGAAATATTAGAAAAAGTGCACAAAGAAATAGATGAAAAGTTTGAAAAATACAATGGCCAAATTACTTATGATGTTATCAATGAAATGGAATATGTAGACAAAGTGTTAAGTGAAGCAACAAGGATTCTTCCTCCTAATGGTTATGTAACACGGCAATGTGTTCAAGATACTGTATTAGAAGTGGGTAATATCAAAGTAGAAAAAGGTACGAAAATTTTTACTCCAATTTACCAAATACACCACGATCCGAGATTTTATCCAGAGCCAGTGGTATTTGATCCAGAACGGTTCTCTAAGGACAGAAAGCCTAGCGATGAAATTTTTATGCCTTTTGGTATGGGTAATCGCATGTGCTTAGGAGCTAGGTACGCTAAATTGCAAGTACTAGCTGGACTAGTTCACGCTCTGAGACATTTTACCGTTAAATCTAATGCAAATATGAATAATCTTATTTTTCAGAAACATATACTAAATGTAAAACCTAATAATGTAGATATAAAACTTGTTCCTAGAAATAAAAACTAAGTGCTGATGACTTTAGTGTTTATGTTGTATCATTTTATTGTTGTGTATTCCATAATTTAAGAAACATAATTGTATGATCACATAAGTGGTAATTTAAAGATAAGATTACATTAAAAATGTATTGTTACTATAATTACTTTAGTGATCAATAATTCTTCTATTACCCTGATTTGTCTGATCACTTTTAATACTAAAATCGATAAGATTACGTTAGCACTTAATACGTCTTCTATAATTCTTCCGTTGAATACAACTCTCTGTTTGTTGTTGAACTCAAATGAGTCAATGTGTCTTTATCACATTTTTTTGTCTCATATACCTACAAGATTATTATGAAACATGTTCTTATCATAACTATTGCTCTGCTCATAACGTAACTCAGATGGGTGCTAAATAAGGAAGTACTGAACACAATGTCCGGGATGGTAACGATATGACACTGCATATGACCTATGTGGAGAAAGGGCAGTAGTCGTTACGTTTTTGCTTACATTCAACTAGATATTTAGAAAAGATAGAAGATATTTAGATATTAGACAAAATAAGACTTTGGATTAAAATTAATAAGGGCAAATTTTAGCCGTGAACTGGATGTCAAAAATACTTTTCCATAGAAGAAGTCGCAATAGTACTTGTTCCTTTAGAGTCTATGCAAACACACCAATGAATTAAAAGACAGACGGATAAAGTAATTGGCATCAATAAACACAGCAATAAAGATGAAGTAGTAACGCACAAAGATAAACGGCATTCATGGAGTAAATAAAACTTCCAAGGTCATAAACGAAACCGCGGCGACTTCGAATTTACATGTCAATCGAGGTATCAAAATCACATTATGGACATATACATAAACACATTTATCACTGAAACAGTAAGAGCAAGGGATTTCCGAACAGCAATCTTTGGACCCAAGTATTTAGGACAACCAGCGGAGCGAAACACTTGCAACACTATCTGGACAACACTAACGTGGACATCCCATTCAATTTTCACCTCTATGTTTACCCAATTTAAGTCTTTTGCAACTGCACGTGCTAACCCTGTCAGTAATACAAAAACCAGTTTGCAAGATCTATGCAAATGGATGCGGTACCCTGACACATGTTCTGCGTAAGTGCGGTGTGCGTTCAGAGTGGGATGCCTAGTTATAGTGGTCGGTACTCGTAAGGCATTTTACGATGTTGAGAATGAATGACTTGTTCCGTTGCGAAAATTATATATGTGAGTAGTATGATGCAAAAGTTTGTTTTTGTTGTAACGATTGGTTTCGGTTTCATCGGAAAATGTGCGGAGATATTTAGCGTCTTTGTGTCAGTAAGCATTTACCTGCATACACTAGAAAACTCATAAAATGTTTACAGTTCGTTTCTAACAATTCATGTTAGAGACGGACCAGCTTATTAATTATAAGATAACAGTGAACATCATTTTTGACCTTCTCGTTTTATAGTATTTTGTAGCACCTCCGATCTAATCAGTGCACAAGCAAAGCTAAAGTATAAAATACTAGACATAAGGGTCATATTTGCGTGTAACAAGCTTCCGGCACATTTCGGCACAACAAATAAACGAAGGTAACCTCATTAAGCAAAACAATTAAAAATTGAAACACGAATGTATGCAACATTCGATGTTTTCACAATAATTCTAACGAGTAGCAATCGAAGGATGTTCATACTTACTGATTGCATTTTATCCGTTCAATACTGCGTGTATATAATTTTATGTATAAATGTACCTATTTATTAAAGACTCATTAGTAGAATTTGTGGGAATTTAACAATGTAATTAGTCTTGTAATATGTCTGTTGGATAGCTATAAAACCTATTAATGTTCAAACTTTATTTTACAACATCCATTTTTTATTCTTGAAGGTGTAAATATAGTTCTCATGCACATATTAATTTAGACTGTTGTAATGCGTGCTCTGATGTTTTATTGTGCAAAGGTTATAGGTATGGTATTTATGTCAAATGACAATCGTGAAGCACACTAAAATAAATTATAATACACACTAGATACGCGACATTAATCATCGCACATGGTATTAAAAATTATGAGCCCCGATCGTAGCCCGAAATTAGTCGACCATCCTCGAAAATGTACCTTGTATATTTTTGTTAGAAACATCACTAGTCAGAAATAAATTTGCAAATAAAAACATGATATTATAACTGTTAAAAGTTAGATTTTATTTAAAATTACACATACTGTGCCATTCTATGCTGGACAAAATGCTCGACAGGCCGTTTGTACGAGCCACTCAACATGGGGATAACTGCACTATATTTATAGGTACAATATTTGTTTGAACGGAGAGGGAGAGAGCGGGCAACGACTAGGATGATGTTATTTTGTTTTTTTAATAAACTAGACGAAATTATTAAACGTGGTACTTAATTTCTTCGATATAATGTTTTAGGTCATATTGTGTGAACCACAAATATATAGATTCATATAGGTGTATACAAATTGAAGGTAATTAATAATTTACACTTTACACCAAACCGGGCTTGGTTATCTTGACCTAATCTATGAAGTAAATTATTATAATTAGTTGTTCCGTTGACGCATAGAACATGAATTTCAATCAAGTTACAATTTTGAATATATAAAAGCTAATTTTGAACTGGTCACATGGCTATATTTATATAGTTTGATCGATGTATAAAGCTATTACGCAAAATCTTTTTATATCAACAACTCAAAACACCTTTAGTCTAAATCCAGGTCAGGAATAATTACACGACCCAAACCAACAAACCAATTTGAAGAACACTGTATTCCCAACCACCCTTCAAATTTTCCCCATCTCTTAACACAGACACTCCCACTCCCAGTGGAGGGGGGACTAAAAGCTCAGTCGCGTTAACGATTTCGAAGCGAACGGGCGTATCGTGTGTGTCGCGCGTAAATAAAACAAATAATAAAATAAAATGTCCATGACGATGATGTGAAGTGAAACTGAAGCTCCAGTGCTTCCTACCATGTCTTCCTATAGTGCTTCTTGGAATAATGCAGAGGTTTTAACGTAGTATGTATTATAGGTTATAGTAGTAGTATATTATTTAGTATAGGCTTAGTTTAGGCTATCATCGGTCCGCAGTGTGCTATAAATTTTGATGTACGAGTAACTATTTGGTCAACTTTATGTAATGGCGTTCAATGAAGTTAAAAGTGTTTTTGTGATCACTAATCAATGTCTTTGCTTGTAACTCATTTTCGTTTTAGATTAAAATTTCACTTAATTTATATTGAAATCTTAAGCCTCGTTTTTATAAATTTCTGAGAAATGAAGTTATCCTTTGCAATTTCCATCTCATTTCATTTTATATTCAGAGTCTGTCGTAAGGATTGGGGTGAGATATCAAAAGGCCAAAGGTCATCGCTTCGCGCAAGCGAAAGTAGTCGGGCCTACGTCAAAGTTGTTCTCAGTATTACGTTACTACCACTTTATTACAAAGAACTGTACTGTACATGAAGTGATGGACTTAATCTTACTATATTCAAATTAGGACGAACTTTACAAACGTGTAATGATTGTATTGTAATATTATAATATACTAAGTGTAGCGCTAATTGCCACCTTGTACCAATCACTGTTTTGGCTATTGTATGTTATAGTTTTTTCGTATTAATGACCGATTTTTTCAACGTTAGATAAGTTTTAACTGAGGAATAACTTAACTAAACTGACTAAACGCTAAAAACTGTCAAATGCAATTTTATTCTACAGTTAATAATTAACTAATGATTGTAAAATTGGAATGTAGAATGTTAATTCAATGCTAAAAGAAAATCAAACATCCAAACAGGCTCGTTTTTGAAGTTGGTAAAAATGCAACTGTCAAACACCGAGCGGTCACCGGTGACCGCAACCTATTGTTCTTTAATTGTGTCTATAATGACGGTACTCAACGAGTTAACGCTATTTACCTACATTATGCTCAAAAATGTCAATTTTATTTTGCATAACAGTTTAACTATCCAGTTCTTTTCATCTTTTATTGCTTTTAATATTTTCACACTATTGGTAACTTTGACTATTCATTAGTTCGACGTTACCATATAATAATAACTTAATAGATAAGCGTTCGATGTTATCAAAATTACACCTGAAATATTTATTTTGAATCGACTTTTTTTGTAATATACATTAGATTTCTTATTTTCCACGGACTCTTGTCCATGCCGTTGTCATTCAATTACATTTTTTAAATTTTATAGTCAAAATTAATTCAAAAATCTTACGTACTAAATGTACCTCATTTTTTATAAACAAAGACGTTTGTGAATCGACATTTAGTACTAAACTCAATATTTTATTTTATACATCATCACATCATCTAGTCTCATCAGTAAAAAATTACGATTTCATGGTGACACTAGAAAACGCGCAGTAATACAACTACAGGTAATGATTTTTAATTATGTTTGTCTGAACTCAAAATAAAAACAACAAAATACTGCGGCAAAACTATTTCTAAACATTTCCAAGATCATTACAATATTTTAGAAACTCGAAAAAACGTAGTTTCTGTAACGGTAGCAGTAGGTCAAATAGTCTGGAGTTTAAAATATAGAAATTGCCTTAGTGGTGTAATGAAAGAAAGATGCTATGATCCTAGATCATTATAATGTTACGTATATTAAAATGACTTCAATGATACACGTCTAATTTTGTTATAAATGGATTGTCTAGGTCACGCTAGCTGTCGAGTTATATTTAATCTTGTCTGAATTATGTCCGGCGCCTAAATACCTATCGTCCAAACATTTATCGTATGACATTAGAAATTTAGGTCGTATCTTCGTTTACAGAAGTTAAACAAAAAATAGCTTCCGTTTTCGCAGTTATTTGTCTATTGAAGGGTTTTTAAAACTACGGTGATCATCACACATATTTTGTCAATATTTTTTATCATGTCAACATCATAAAATATTATTCTATGTTCCTTTATATTAGGTATAGAATTTTGTCTAACAATCTATTTTTGTTTGTTCCAGGCATAACGGATCAGTAATTCAACCATACAATGCAGGGGAGCCTTTCATGACAAACGAGTAGAAGTTTTCCGGGCAAATAGTACCTAAAACCAACAGAAGATGGCGCTTTTCAACAATTCTTTCTCAAGAACTTACCATCACTTATTTGTCGAATTAGCTGGTAAGTAACCATTTCGTACACAAAAGTTTATTTCTATAATAAGAAATTAAGGGGCACAACACACCAGTTTAGTAGGTGTAAGAGAATGCATAATTAAAGTTCTAACAGTATCGACAAAATTTCCATCAAATTGCATAAAACAAACACCTAATTTTTTCATTGAAATAGTATATTGTCAGAACATGAATTATGTACTGAATTCTTTGGAAAACATAAATAAAAAGGAATAAAAAGGAATATAAGAATATTAACCCAATACAAAGTTTACGTATTTCTTCAGTTTCCTTCACATTTATTCATGCAGTGCCTCCATCGTATACGTTCGCTAATATCATCCTTTCTCACAATTTCCAGATCCCAGAACAAACGACTGGTTTCTAATAACAGATCCGTTGCCCGGTCTCACTATCATCGGCCTGTACCTATACTTCTCGTTGAAATGGGGGCCGAGGTACATGGCAGACAAGAAACCCTTCCAATTACAGAAGACTTTAGTCATTTATAATTTTATACAAGTCGTCGTTAGCGTATGGTTGTTCCATGAGGTGAGTGATCTGAAGTCTTTATAAATTCACGATTAGGTATTACAATTTAATCAACTATTTATAAAATAGTATTGTTCAAAATCTTACGGTGCTTAGTTTTAGGCATTACATTATATTCCTTTGTCAATTAAGTGCAGCATTATTATTTTCGTGTTCCATTATATGAAAATTGAGGATCAGTTTTTTGTGTGTAGGTACGTAAAGATTTCATTCGACTTTGAAGATTCTATAAATAAAGTGGCAATCTGTAAAAGGGAGCGATTTACCAGCTCTTACACACGAGCGGCATGTTGTCAACGACAGAGGTAACTGCAGTCATCGCCGCGGGTTGGCGCTTGGCGGCAACCGTTGATGCGTCGGCGGCATCCGTTGACGCATCGACGGCAGCCATCGACATTTTAACTTTGAAGAACGCTACAACTGCAAGTGCCACTATAAGTCGACTGCTGCCGACACGTGTCGATGGCAGTAGTTGCCTCTGCCGTTCGCAATACGTCGCTCATGTGTAAAAACTCTAGGACCTTAGATATGGAATTATTATTAACCTTCAAGTACTGACGTGGTTTACTCATACCATAAACGGTGACGTGACGTATGTCAAACACCTTAATAAATAATCGAAATGGATTACTTTTATTTATTGATTTGCACAATATTTACTTGTATTCTGATCGGTCCATTATAATTCTATTAAAGAAAGTGCAAAAATTACAACATTCTCGAATGAAATCAGCGGTTTCTGATTCAAATTCTATAAACTTAAAATATAAATATTTCGCATAACTTAAAAAAATATATGTTACAATCTTAGCTACAATCCAATTATTTGGACGTTTTTTTGGAAAATTCTTATATTCGTGAACACGCCGTCTATGAGACACCCACGTCAGTAGTTAAAGGTTAAGTAGGTAGTAGATATCTAACGAAGAAAATAGTGAAACTACAATAATTGTGTTCTATGATTTCAGGGCCTCGACGCGGGCTGGTTGAGGACTTATAGTTGGAAATGTCAACCGGTTGACTTCTCAAGATCGCCGGAGGGTATGAGAGTGAGTATCTCCGGTATTCGTGCCGTGGCATTAATATTTGTTTACAAAACATAGAACAGGACTTTCCGAACAACTTTTCTACTAGATTTGTCCTACCTGGTTTGGGAGTGGTAGATTCTATTTCACATCAACTAGTACCAAGACAAACACCATCTAAACGTTAATCCAATAAGTGAAAAGCAAATTCAGTATAGACTTATAATAATTATGTCAAAACTTCATTAATTATTATATTTTTGGCTTGCTCACGTTACTGTTTGACCAAGAAGTCGACTAGTTTAAAGCCATAGGTACTAGAGGCTCATACGCATGAGCAGTATACCGCGACACGCGGTGCGGTGACTATCGCGCTGCTACTGCATTTTCATCAAGCTAAGACCTATTTCAGTTTTTTAATAAATTGTTCTCTGGCGTTTAAATGCTGCTTAGAGGGTAGTCTTCTTTATCTGACTTTGAATTTCATCCCAAATGGACTGATTTTAGTAGGTACTAAGACGAGGCGGTATAATGTGTGAAGTTCTCTAAATAAACTAAGAAACATAAATATTGTGTTATTTATACGTAAACAGTTATGCGTTACTAACTACCAACTTCTATAACATATCTCAATTCATAGGTATGAATGTATGGATTAACATTGACTTTTGGACACAAACTCCATACAACTAGTGTCAGTATGTAGGTCACATCTCTATACAACTCACTTTTCGTGGCTTAATGTCGTGATGTTTCTAATTGTTACAAAGATTGAGTTTGCATGTGCAAACCTTCGGAAGCGGCCAATCCTTGTATCTTGTATAAGAAGATGATTATGTAAATGATAAATAATAACATAATTACATGATTTGAGGTATTATGCTAAAATCGCATCTAATAGTAATGTAATACCTATTATATTCATATAATATCATCAATATTACACACATTATTTGCATATTTGGTCAGAAAATATATTTAGAATCATGCAAAACGCCCTTCCTTTATCCTACTAAGTTTAAATTTTGTTATGCCCGACAGAGTCCGTAATTTTATTACTTTGACTTTGTCTTAGGTATATTTAAATACAAAACAAAGTCAAAGAATTTTAATTGAGTAATAAATTCGACAATTACAAGCACTTTTGAAAGACAAAAAAAATGCAAGTAATTATGAGGTGAATACGAACTTGTTGATAGGTACCTGTTATTCAGAGAAATAACTGATTATCACTTTATATCATAATGTCTGTTTTAGTCGCTTCTGTTATAAGATAATGAAAAAAAAAGTCTTTGAAATACATCCTCCTCGACTAGATTCAGAGATTCCTTCTTTTCCTCGTCAACTTACCTTTGCTCCCGTAAGTTTCCTCTTAATCGGGGGGCTGTTATACCCAAGGAATATCACACCCTTATCCCCGTCACAGTGCTGACACTTCACTCCTCGCCTCACATTGTAGGTACATTAAAAGTAATTATTTTCTTAAATAATTCCACGATTACTTTGTGCATTTAATAGTACAAAATGTCTTTTACACATAAGATATAAGTTAAGTATCATAACGAAATAAATGTAAATAAATTGCCAATATTTAAATTTGACAGCACGGTTGGTGCGGAGGAGGCTGGATTCCCGCATTTCTATGCAGCATTTCTAAAGAGTTGTTCTCAACTCTTTATGTAATCCACAAAATATTGTTTCGGGTCTAGATCACATGTGTATGTGAACTTATGTTTGTAAACGCACCCACGATACAGAAGAAAATCCTAGTGTTGGGCAACGTTTAAAGAAAACAAAATTATCTAAAACAAGCCTATATAATAACAGTTAAACTCTTCAACAACCTAATTTAGATGGAGTTAGAAACTTTCTAAGCATTCACAATAGGAATGTGTATGACCAAGTTACTCGTTATAAACAGCAGTTATTCTTAAGTACTGTTATTACTCGTTGTTAATTAAGATCGCTCTAGTAAATCTTGGAGTATTTAATCATTAGGTACTTTGTAATAAAAGCTTGTAGAATAGTCATAGGCTCAATGATATACAAGATATTTTTAAAGAGTTTAAATGCTGTCTTGATTGGCATCTCATCACTGTTATATTATATTAACAGAACGCTAAGATATCATTATTAACTGTTATGTGATTCTTGTATGAGTAAGGGGTCTAAGGTTGGTTTTATTGTTTAGCGTTTCAACAGCGGCGTTGAAGCGCGCGCGTTCGAAGATATACATGAGAGAAGTAATTGCGTTTCATAGTCGCTCGCTTTTATAGCGCCGTTCAGAAAACGTCATTTATTGAGAGGCAAAATCATCCGATGAATTCTTCCGCCCGGGTGTAAGGCAAGAGGGAGTGTCAGACTCTTATTGATTAAAAACCACCCCATTCCTACTGCTGCACGTCTAGCGGCGTGACTATGAAACCAGCCTAAGAACCTTAACTCTTACAAGAATCACATAACTGCATCTTTACATTTTCAATTGACATCACATCTTTCGATTAATGTAATTACTAGCGACTTCATGTCGATTACTATCTTCTGGTTGATTAAGATTTGATCAAGGAATTTTGATTTGAAATAAGAACAAAAAGATAATTTATATATTTACTTTAATATTGTATACATAATTATTGTTATATGTAAGTATGTATAAGTTTTCAAATATACCTATATGTTTAGTGTCTATTGAATATTCTGATTGTGAGATTTGTTATTTATTACACTGGTACATTGCCTATTTATAAAGGTTTAAATCACCTGCTACTTTCATCTCTGCACTGCTTAAAGGTTGACTGGGAGACAATGCCCAAGGCATTAAGTCCACCTGTACACACTTGTTGTATGAAGTTGAAATAAATAAATAATTCTTTTAACGCAGTTATTATTGGTTATGTGCTTTATTTCTAAATTTTGTATGCCATTCTGATTTGTTCTTTGTTATTATTTCCAGGTTGCGAGAGGGGTCTACATATACTTCCTGGCGAAAATGTCTGAACTACTCGACACGATTTTCTTCGTTATCAGGAAAAAGGATAGACAGATTACTTTCCTCCACATGTACCATCATACTGTGATGCCCATGATATCCTGGGGAGCCACCAAGTACTACCCTGGAGGTCATGGCACCCTCATCGGAGTTATAAACTCCTTCGTTCACATTATTATGTACACGTACTACATGTTCTCAGCTATGGGACCCCAGTTCCAAAGGTACCTGTTCTGGAAGAAATACATCACTACATTGCAAATGGTAAGTTTTGACTATTTTGGCGTACCTACATACAATAAACACTTGATAGAAATTGTTCTTCAAGAAAAATCATAAATGGTTGATGTTCTATTATTTACCTAATTTTTTTTAGTCAATGTTGTTTACACTAAATGAGGAAAAATGTGTATAGATACGAGTGTCTTTTGAATTCTGTAATTGTAAATGAGACACAGTTTGTATCAATAGGTCCACGAGATTTTGCGGTCTTTATTCACTTCTTCTTTTTTGTCATGACTAATTCGTCTCATTACCTTCTTCCAGCTCCAGTTCTGCATCGCCTTCCTCCATTCTGCGCAGCTGCTCTTCTACGACTGCGGTTACCCTCGTTGGTCCGTCGTCTTCACTCTACCTAACTCCATCTTCTTTTACTACCTCTTCTACGATTTCTACTACAAGGCATACGGCAAACCTACCAAGAAGGGAGATGACAAGAAAACTGACGCTAAAGAAATAAAGAGTAATGGTCATGCGAATGGCAAAGTCGCTGCTAATGGTCATGCCAATGGAACCGCTAATGGCAATAAGGTTGCCAATGGCAAGAAGGTTGAATAAACAATTTCAACGTTGACATGTAAATATTTTTATTGTTTAATACCAATACCAATTTTAGTTATAGCTAATTTTGAATATTGATTAATTTTATAAGATATCCAAGTAACGAATGAGGGACAAATTCATGATCAAATTTACATTTTTTCACCGTTACTGGATTAGTAAGTACTTGTTCAACATCTAACATCGCTTTGATGTTACTTAATGCTGTGTTTAGTACTTCTAATTTGTTGGATTTAAATTGTTTTATAATTATTACGTCTTCAGTTGTGGATAAGAATGTTATGGTGTATATAATATAGATTGTTATGACCATGTATTTAAGACATTATTTTTTAAATTAAGATGAGTATATTGCCATGAAACTCAAAGTTAGCTTTGATGCATCTGCTGTTAATTTTTCGATCAAATATTTCTGTTGTGTAGATACAGTGATTTATGAAGGCATAAATTTTATGCAGATCTAATTATAAAAATGTTATTTTAGTTTATTCAGTGTATATTTTTGGTAAACTTTTATTTTTTGTGAATCATATAATTTCGAATTTCATTGTTAATACATCTGTAAGGAAACGTGATAAAAATTAAATTGTCTTCCAATTATTTAGAGTATCTCTTCCAGTTGGCATAATTACTGTTAGATGAATTTATTTCTAGCTGAATCTAGCTCAGAGTCAAGGATACTCGAGTTATTATATATAATGGCAAATATTTTTTAATAAATTGCCAAAAATGGTAGCCCCAATTAAATTTTTAGTAAAAAGTTGATGCAAAAATCAATCTTCATGTTGCTTCGTAATTACTTTTATTATAATAAATAATCTGCTATTTATTTACAACGAGAACAGTTGTTCAACTACGACTTTCTTTATAACAATGCTTAAATAGGTCATGTAAAAGTACTCTAACCACCTAGATATTTTTCTACGAATTTAATAATAAGATTAGATTGTACTGGTTTTCTACAATTATCTGACGTATTATAGCAATTTAGATTTCAATAAGCTCAATACCAAAATGTGACTAATGGTATAACATACCTAACTATGGCAAAAATGATCCAGACTTTTAAAAAATTCAATGTTATTAGACTTGCGTAGGATTTTAAAATCTAACCTAACAAAGTAAAGTAGAAAAGTTACAAGACCCAGATGGAAGTTTATGCGTTACGCTCACTAGATGGCGTTAATTATATACACGATTTTATGATGAGTCCTCTTCCGATACTAGCGCTCTAATGATGTTAAGAAGTACCTTATTGAGTCCTGATTACAGTAAAACGAGTTGAATATAACCCGAGAGGTTAATTGACATAGGAATGGGGTGAATAGATCCTATGAAATTTTTCTAGTATCTATTCACCCCTCTTCAGTCTCTATTCCGTTCCGTTCTAGGTTCATTGTCATAGTTGAGTATGTTTTACCTTTATCCTAAATAAGCAATTGTTCAAGCATCTTTCATATACTGTAGTTGCACATTTATAGATTAAAGAATTGTACATTTGCGTAATCGGGTTTGTAATGTTTAACAATATATGTGACTACGATATTAGTTTTGTTTTTTTTTTTTCTTTAAAACTGCTTTGCAAAGAAAATCACAAGATTTGTCGTATTGCTCTCCTGTGGATTGCACAGGAATTTTACATTAATTAACCTCTGGACTGGTAGGTATATGAGACATAATAAAAAATACATTATGTCTGAAGTAGATCTAGAGGTATGTTCCAGCCAGATTTTTTAATTGGGCAAGTTGCCAATAAGGGATTAAGGTCAAGTCAAGAGTCAAGGGACTCATAACATAAAACTGAAAAGTGAGTGTTACATTGTACAGTGGTATTAACTGCCGTAATGCACCTCGGCATACCCTTTCGGGACAAAAAGCGTGATGTTATGTTGGACATGCCCGCCAGAACCTTCTTAAACCGTTCATCATCATCAACAGCCGGAAGACGTCCACTGCTGGACAAAGGCCTCCCCCTTAGCCCTCCACGTCGAACGACAACTCGCCACCCGCATCCACTGGCTCCCCGCAACTCTGGCGATGTCGTCGGTCCACCTAGCGGGAGGCCTGCCCACGCTTCGTCTTCCGGTCCGTGGTCTCCACTCAAGGACTTTCCTGGCCCATCTGCCGTCAGTCCTTCGAGCGACGTGGCCTGCCCATTGCCACTTTAGTCTGCAGATTTTGCGAGCTATGTCGGTAACTCTTGTTCTTTGGCGAATTTCCATATTTCGGATTTTGTCGCGCAAAGAAACCCCGAGCATAGCTCTCTCCATCGCACGCTGAGCGACTTTGAGCTTCTCCAGAAGGCCAGAGGTCAGGGACCACGTCTCGGTACCATATGTCATCACCGGCAACACACACTGGTTGAACATCCTGGTCTTTAGGCACTGAGGGATTTTCGATGAGAAGATTTCGCGTAACTTCCCGAACGCTGCCCATCCAAGTTGGATTCTTCGGGCGACCTCTTTGTCGAAATTGGACCTACCTAGCTGTATAATCTGCCCTAAGTATGTATAGTGGTCTACAACTTCGAGGATATCGTTCCCAACGATGACCGGTACAGGTGCAACATGGACGTTTGACATGATTTTGGTCTTGTCCATGTTCATTTTAAGACCCACCTGTTGGGAGACGATATTGAGGTCGCTGAGCATGGTGTTCAGATCCTCCAGCGATTCCGCCATGATGACTACATCATCGGCGAAGCGGAGGTGTGTGATGTATTCGCCATTGATATTGATACCCAGTCCACTCCAGTTTAAAAGCTTGAAAACGTCCTCCAATGCGTTGGTGAACAGTTTCGGAGAAATCACGTCTCCCTGTCTCACGCCTTTCTGCAATTGGATTGGTTCCGTGCTATCTTCCTGGAGTCGGATGCGCATAGTGGCGTTTCTATACAAACACTTTAGCACCTCGATATATCTGTAGTCGATATGGCATCGCTGGAGAGACTGCAGCACCGCCCAGGTCTCGATCGAATCAAAGGCTTTTTCATAGTCCACGAACGCCAAGCATAGTGGCAAGTTATACTCCTCAGTCTTCTGTATAACTTGCCGCAGCGTATGAATGTGGTCTATGGTGCTAAAGCCTTTCCGGAACCCGGCTTGTTCGGGAGGCTGGAAGTCATCAAATCTGCGTTCGAGACGGTTCGTGATGACCCTAGAGAACAGCTTATATACATGGCTCAGAAGCGAGATGGGTCTATAGTTCTTCAACAAGGAGTTGTCACCCTTCTTAAAGAACAAAACCACTACACTCTCTTGCCATGCTTTCGGCGTAGCTCCTTCGAGAATGACGGAATTGAATAGTTTCTGGAGGACTAAAAGTATCGGTTTTCCACCCGCTCGCAGAAGTTCTGTTGTGATTCCGTCATCACCCGGTGCCTTGTTATTTTTGAGCTGTCTGAGAGCCATCCTAATCTCATACAGGCTGATGTCTGGGATATCCTCGGTATAGTGCCGTGTCAGTTTAGCTCTTGGATCCCGAGCTGTACCGACAATGGGTTGCCGTGTCGAGGTGTATAACTGTCCGTAGAACCTTTCAAGCTCTCTCAGAATCTCTGGCTTCGACGAAACGATGCTGCCATTTTCGGTCTTCAGTTTCGTCATTTGGCTTTTCTTAAACCGTTGCCACTCTTGTAAGCCAGGATTTATAGCAGATACAATACAACCATGAAAGCACCGGGAAACTGAAGTCCGGTGCGACCCATAGCGGCATGAACACAGAAATTTTTATATAAGTATCTGTGGGCAAGATCCCGCAACGAAATTGATTAGAAGAAAGATCCACTTTTACTTAGAGTTTCCACTTCCCTCAGTGAGACAGAATGACTTAAGCTACAGGCACAAAAGAAATTGTTCCGGCCAGATACCAGAAGGTAACATACATGTTCACTTAATACAAAGGCAGATAGTTCACCGAAATATTCACGTGTGAACATTTCGTGCGTTTTCATTGCCCTAAGGCCTCGAATAAAATTAAAAAAAATGTTGAAATCATAAATTATTTATATTAACTTAACATTTATTCATGCAAATTATATTTTGTAAAAATCTAAAAAAAGTCATTCACAAAAGTTTAATAATAAAAAAATGTAAAAGCATAACACTTCAAACAATAATTGTATTATAAAATTTCTATAAAATATTAAAATAATATTGTATACCTATTACAAAAATAAACCCATTATAAAATACCGACGTAAGTATATTTTCAAAATAGAGACACAAGCTTTTAGTTTTAATAATTAGTTAAAATAGGTTTATTTCAATATTTGAATAACTAATACAGTTATTGTTTATTCATAAACGTAATTTCGAAACATAAAGTGTTTAATATAAACATATTGTTATTATTATATCAAAATTCGTTACTTATTTTTCATTACAAAGGCACAGATTTCAGAAATAAATTGAAATTCATATTTGACTATGAAATTGAAATACAAAATAATGTGATTGTGTTGAAGTAAATGTCTGGATAGGATAAAAATCGAAAATAAATAATGTTTGGTAGGACTTCGAAGAAAGTAAGAATTTCATTTGAATGCCTTAAAGTATATTATCATAATCAGGTCTGAAAAACTATACATATATTGTGGTTTATAATAAATAAACATCATAATATTTAGGTGCTAATCAATTTGTGGGTAAAAATGCCTCCATAAAAACGTGAATAACATTTGTATTGGGACTTTCTACTCTCGAGTTTGTTTCTAAAAGTACCTACATTAAATTATTTACTCAATAATTTAAGTTTAATAACATTATTATCCATTGATACTTCTAGTAAAATTTCTTCAGCATTTCTGCTGAGCATGTTAAGGCACGATTTATAACAAAATAGATATAAACATAACAAAGGCCGTTAACATCACACGAGTTAAATTTGAAGGTATGTTTGGATTTAGATACATTCAAATGAATCGATATTAGTATTTATTATCGACATACATACTTAAACAAATAGATTTTGTCTGACCTTTGCTCTGACAACTGAGTCAAAGTGCATTTACAATTCTTCAGTTTTGTGCTACAAAGTATTGAAAAGCAGGATGACATGATTTCTTAATTACCAATGAAGCAAAGGCAATGTTCTATAGACAGTTAAAAAAACTATAGAGAATCAATCGATAAATCATCACAGCCTAGAAAATCTTATGAAACTAACCATAATTTTAGCTCGATTCAGTATCCAAAAAAACACGTGTTATTCAATTCTATTTAAAACTTTAAAAAATCTAATAAATAATACACTATTTACAACAGTAACTATGAAATAAAATTTTCAAAAAGTTATGAAGTTATTTCCCAAACCTTTTTCGAAATTTCGAAACCAAAAAAATGTCCATGTCATCACAGATAAATCGTTTTCATCACTTATTAATTTAATATTGCACTATTCTTCTTTTGGTAGGCACAGCGATGGTAGGGACTCATTGGTGACGATGCCACCTCGTTTCTTATTGTAGTTCTGACGGTAGAAGTTGAGGAAAAGTAGGAGAATGACTCCGGTATTGCAAGACACAAATATGGCCACACCTCTAGCTGGTGGACAGTCTGACACTCGCACAGTTGCTATGTATTGAATGATGATTGATACAAACTGGATCTGTGGAAAAAATAGACTGTTACTTCATCCGCGTCGATTATTGAAAAAATAACTACCTATTTACTGTTATAGACCTTTGTATCTCAGGTAAACATCTTAAACCTTAGTTCAGTCCTTGGTTCACATCAAATCTTCTTCAGTAGTTCAGACCTTAAACTGTCAAACACCAAGCGGTCACCGGTGACCGCAACCTATTGTTCTATAATTGTGTCTATAATGACGGTACTCGACGAGTTAATCTACTTTAATTTGAGCACAGTAATTAAGTGAAGTAAAATTATTTTACAAACAAATTATTCTCTCGATCGCTAAAGTCGTCAATATGAATGCAATTCATTCAGAATTAAATCAGGTATTGTAATAAACGAACTCACCAGCTGAAACTTGGTCATGTATTTCTTCCACCACAAATATTTGGCCACATTTGGGCCTAAAGCAGCCAATCCATAATAAGTGTACATAAATACATGCACCAACGAATTCAGGAATCCGATGAATATCAGTGTGTGTGACGGCCAATATTTGAGCAAAACCCATGTGCCAATCACCATGACAGTGTGATGGTATAGATGTAGAAAAGTAATCTGATTGTTCTTCTTTCTTAGAACAAAAAATACGGTATCTAAAAGTTCTGTTAGCTTTGCTGCTAAATACAGGTACGTGCCCAAAAGGATCTGAAAAAGAACATTATAAAAAATAAAATATGTTTTATTTGAACAGTATGATGAATAGGTGATAGGCGATTTTAAAGAATTTGAATATTTAAATAAAATTTTCCGGTTATTGAAATTTCAAATGATTAACATGGTAACTAAAATTGTCTTCGACATGTAACACGACTACGTTCGCTTATGCTTCAAGGGATTTTCTTCTTTTTAGTTGTTCTCTTCATCATCATGTCTAGCCTGGTGCACGTGTCACTTGATGCACAACCCTCCTTGAAGCGCCCTTGTCCTCTGCAATCTTTATGGCTTGTGGAACTGTCAGACCAGTGAGGTGTTTTACCGTATCCAGCCAACGGGAACGACCGCGAAGTCTTTTACCGTTAACCTGACCAACAACCACCAGTTTCTCCAGATTGTCGGGTCTCAAGAGACTTATAAAGTAGCAAATAGGCCCGTAGATATTGGACAAGGTTACTCGAGTAATTCAAATTCGAGACAGGTGTGTGGCATACAATGTAATGACATCGTGTTATTGTTTAGAAAAAAAAATTAAGTTATTAATGAAATACTTACTCTATTCCTTGAACTATCTTCATTCATGTAACACTTCTTTGGAACCAAACCCATGTCAAGTAAGTCTAGCAGGAACTGAAAATAAAACAAAATGCTATAATGTAATCTTAAATTGAATTCTAAGTTAAATAAAGTACGAAGATTTACAATTAAAAGTCTAGCGTAAAACATACATAAACCATTTTTAATTTTAATGAAGATATAATAAGTCTGCCCTCTTCAAATGCATGTTGTTGCACAAACGCAAATTATAGTTTAGTTTACATATTATTATACTTCTTTCGACGTCATACTCTTATCCAGATCCAAATCAGCTAAACTATATTCATACAGATAGAGATCGCACCAATAAAAATACCTCATTGTCATTTTCTCGGTTGCTTAGCAACCGTAACGAGTTATAAAGCCATAGATGCTCAAGATTCTGGTCAAACAGCGTGAAGTTTAAATTAGAATCCCCCATCTCAAACGTGAGATTATCAAAATTACGCAATTCAAACAGTTTGTAAGTATGTTTGTACATCACATAGTTTCTGAGTACTTTTGTGGAATAATTACTCTGTTTACCTATTACCTAATTCTACAAAGGTACGCATTATAATGTCATGTTGACATAATATTATTAAATTTTAGGGAAAACCATTGTTGTTGTTGTGCCAATTTGGTTTAGCAAAGGTCAATATTGGCAAAAAGTGAATGCTATTTAGGTCCAGTTGACTGTTTTGATAACTGAGTGTGATGGTTATTGTGATTACTAAATCCAAAATTAGCTTTGGAGACAGGTACATAGCTTTCTATCTAATAACAAATACTGATAGCTCTTAATACACCTATAAGCTCGCTACTGTTAAATGGGACTCAATGAAACTGACAAACATTTCTTAGATGTTCCAAGACAGCTAACAAGACTGCATAGCAAAAAAATTATAATTATAGGACATTGGTATTTAGAATTTCTTAAAAAACTGTACCATACGTATAGGGAGTTTACGATGTCAGAAATTATACAAAAGAATACTCACCCTATAAACCATATAGACAGAGAAAGCCACTTGGATAGCATTGTAGATAAGTAGCGTGTATGTTAGCCTGTATCCCTCTCGTTTTCTCATGAAAGCTGGTCCTATCTTCAGGACGAAGACTAAGTAGACTGCCAGGATGGTGAGAACTGGTCCAAGGGAAGCCATGAATGGAAGCTCATCGATTTCTTCATCTGTAATGAGAATGGTGGCATTATTGGAAGATGATTGTATTTTGTATCTTTTTCTATTCAACTTTGATACGATTTATTTTCTGCAAATTACTTCTAGCCTACTTTTAACTAGTGTTGGGGTATCCAAAAAGCCTTAACCACATTCTTCTAAACGTCATCATTTAACATGAAGCGAATGTCATACATATGTCCTCAATCAGCTATCCTCACGTAATATACCACATTCTTAGTTAAACCTGGAAAGAATCGATAACTAGTACTAGTGGTGGACTTTCTATAGTAGTTTAATCGTAGTAAAGACTAAATAATCGATAAGTACGTTGTAAAGGATTCAACCAATAATCTAAATGGAGTAAATGACTACGTAATTGTATAAATACTAACAAGTACAGACGACGCCATGACTTGTAAATTTACTTGTAGAATTAACTCCGCCTTTTCAATGAATGTTTATGCAAAGAAAAATATGTAAGTTAGTAATATACCTAATAAAGTATTAAAACATAAGTTTCACATCTTCGTGAGGATTTCGCACAAGAAACTTGATACTTAATTCCCAAAATATTATGGACAATGTCAAACTACGATGGAATCATAGTTTATTACTTATAGGGTAGGTTAACATTAACACTCAGTAGATAAACTTTCAGCTCGCTGATGAAACGTACACTGTAACCCATTTATATATATGCCTGTCATACCAGAGTAGTCAACCTGTCGAAAATTATTTACTACCAGTAAGTACTTCATTATTTTAAACTAGAGGACTACGCAAACTTGTTTCGCCCTGGAATTTTTTCTGTGCACATTGTAATTGTTATCTTTTCCTAACAATAACAAACCCAACAAAAAACCAAGCTGCAAATTCGGTTCAGCTGTTATCGAGATTTGCGCTTAGCAACAACCTTATCATAACATTTTTAAGGATAACATGAATGAGGCTAAATATAAAACAAATACTCACATTTACTTTTGTTCAAGTCCCAACTGGGATTTTTCGGGTTGATTCCGATGAGCGAGTTCATTTTGATTAAATTTTGAGATGATGTTAAGAATTTTGGAACTGTAACAAAAGAAAAATAAATTAATACAGAACCGATATCATAGAATAAAATAAAGTAAACAAACAGCTAAAATGTTGGAAGTTTGACGGCGCATAACTCCAAAACAAATAAACCAAATACGATGATACTTTTTTGATTGTATCCTCTATTATTGTAACGACAAGTTGAGGAACAAGATTCAAATAAAGACAGTAAATGGTTTTAAAGAATAAATATGGATATTTCAGAACCGTTGCTTGCGTTATGTTTCGTCGTGTGAATGAGGTGACCGGAGGCCCAATTACTGCCCTACCCAGTATCCCTAATTCTCGGATCCTCCACAAATCTCAAATTCCCAATTCCAAAAAGGCCGGTAACGCACTTGTAACGCCTCTGGTGTTTCAAGTGTCTTGCTTACTATCAGGTTATCCATCAGCTCGTTTACCAGCATATCCTATGAAAAAAAAACCTACAATGATAAATGTAATTACCTTGTCTAGAACAGTCTAGTCAAAAACTAATACACACGGATATTTTAAACAAAACGGGTAGGTGTTTGATTAAATTATTTAATTATAATGAAACTGTTTAAAACTGAATAATCACAACACAACAATGTTACACGATATGCACAAGACGCAAAAAATATAACTAATAATAAAAATATTATATTACCATCCGATCTTTATGAATTCTAAACACGAACTAAGTTATTTAATTATTTCAGTACTTAGTTCCCGTTATCTAATGGGGAAAATGTTGCAAGGTTGCGGTTAAAATACATTAGGTATAAGGGAATTCCTATGTCGTTGCAATAAGGATCAAAGTCCAACGTGATTTTATTTGACCAAATTCAATCTCCGTGATTACATAAGCTTCACAATGGGAGTAGATGTGTTTATTAATTTTAATGTTATTTTAGGATTAGTCAAAATAATGATTGGGCACGTGATCTTTGCGTGTTTTTTATAACAAGTCGGGTAACATATTATTAATTTGAGTTTGTGGTAAAGGCCGCACAGTAGCATTTTTTGAATAACCCTGATATTTTTATTTTCTTTTCTTTAATATTAGATGGGACTGACATTTGACCTCTATCTCGCCTGGTGGTAAGCAATGTCTTTTAAACACTACTAATTCCAAAGCGTCTGCGAAGTGAAGAGATTATGATAAAACCTCGTGGTGCCTGGACGTTTAAGGCCGTGATGGCCTGGAGGTTTAAAAGACCCCGCTTCTCATATACGGGAGCGTGGGTGATTTTTTATATTTATTTGATACTACCAAAATAAATTAATTTAATAACAAGTTGTCTTGTACCCAAAAAACCCATTTGCCAGAAAAGTTACGCAATAAAATCGATGTATCTACCTAATAATAATATGTCATTAGGTTCTTAATTGCTTTTTGGAATGCATTCCATTCCATTACGACTTAGGTACCTATATTTAATCATCAAAGAAATGGCGCTTAAATGAATAGGTTACATAGTATCTCTATTAGTAGAGTAATTAGAAAACATTAGTTGTTAATGTATTTTTTTTTAATGTTAAAATATCATCCAAAGGAACACGTTATATTTTTACCTATAAGTATATTAATTTATTAATTTAAATCGCAAATAATTTGGGCATTTTAGCAGGCTGATGGAGTAACAAGAAAAAAACTACGTCTAATTATACTGCAAACAAAAAGAGTAAAAAAAACATTATATGCGCAAAAAGAACATTAAAATTCCTCAGACCTCTATTCCACATATGTGATCATTTTTCAAAATTCAGAAAATCGGTGTAGCGTTACAGAATGAAAAAACATACCTGCAAAAATTAAATTAAAATCATTTTGGTACAATATTAGTCATTATGAATAATAAATAAAAGTGAAATATTTTACTTTTTACACTACTAGTTGAGACAATAATGAGCACATCTTTTTAAATAAAATTGTAATCACCATAATTCCTAAAAATACAATCATTAACTACATTAAATACCTATCTTATTTGTATGATGGACCCGTAAGTAATTATTCACTTCATATTAAAACTAAAAAATAACAATCTTTATTAAATAAAATTGCAGTAAGAAGGTTTATCACATTTTAATTTGTAGTTTCATCCTTTTTAGACTGCCTCGTTGGCCGAGTGGTCTCAAGTGCGGGTACCCAGCAAGGGCTCTCAGGTTCGATGCCCCGGGCGAAGTACGATCTTCGGCCACCGCAAGCACGGGCCTGCGGCCGGCGAACACGCGTGTCTCGCCACCCGACCAGAACCAGGCCTGTCCGTCCTGTTCCGCGCGCGCCTCAAGGGGCCATCAGACCATCACAGATGGGATCCAACAGGGCTGATGCCGATACGTAGCCGCGGAAGACTTAAAGGGTTGCAGGGGCTTCGGCTGGAAGTGCAGGAGTAGGAACGGAGTAGTTTTTAGTCAGTATGAGTCTGACACTCCCTCTCTCCTCACACGGGCGGGAGAAGTCATTAGATGAGTTTCTCCCCTCAAAAAAAGGGGGGCTGGCTAAGTTTTACTGGGCTTACAAAGGACTCCTAACATAGATAGTGAAAAGTGGGTGTTACATAGCACAGTGGCATTAAGGGCCGTAATGTACGCCTCTGCCTACCGCTTCGGGGATAAAACGCGTGATGTTATATACAACATCCTTTATGAGCTTTGAAGGATAACAAGTGATCAGAGAATTACTTAACCATATGACACAAAAAGTATGTTATTCATATATTACACACAAACTTGGCTTGGCAAAATGATCATTATGTTTCGAAGAAAACCCCTTGTTTACTTCCGAAATTGTCTGTACGTTTGTTTACATTTACTTCGACCCCATTGTGTAATTTGAATAAATAATGGCCACATCGTCCTCACGGCTTTCTGTATGTCAAGGGCCCTTTAATTCATCAAAGTCATGTTTTTGATACTGAGAACCATTACGAGACTTGATTGATATTAAATCATTAATCAAAAGTAAAGAAAATCCATTTCAATTTACTTAGTACCCGTGCAGGGATAGGCAGAACTGTACGTACGATGTAGAACTTTCAAAAACTATGTTATCAGTTGAATTTTATTTGGTTACTGAAGATTTCTTGTAACCAAACTTGGTTACATGCTATTTATAATATTCTCGATATACATATACCTAACATTATATTTATGTTTTCCGGGATATATTTCTGAGAATATTGAGAAGGAACATATAAGTAAATTAAAAGGATAATGATGTAAATAAATATAAGTGTACATGTCTTTAGAATTTGTTTTGTACTGTAAACTACTGAAGTATGTAATACATAATGATATATACATTAACTGTCAAATTATACCTTATAGTTATTATTATAGTACTACTACCTTCTGCCCGCGAATTCGTACGCGCTATCCCGATTTCTCCCGTTCCTGAAGGATTTTCGGGACTTTTGTCTTAAGAACCTTCTCTTAATAATGACAAATACAACAATAAAACAGAATTAGTAAAATCGGTCCAGCCACTCCCGCGTGATGCTGTGACTAAGGAGTAAAGAGATTCATTTTTAAATACATTATAGATTAGTTTATTATTACATACT